AAAAGAGTTGAAAGAGACATTTTTGTCATTTACTTATTTTATCCCGGGATAAGTTATTCCGGGATTACTATACCATCCAAAGGGACGGATAATTTATCCCGGTACTAATTATTAATTTCGGGATAAGTTACCCCGGATTTGCCAACCAAACAACAAATTAAGTGGTACTATAATTTAATCTCAAGACTATTTGGTATTATCCTTCACACCAAACGACCCCTAAGTGGTACTATTTAGAGTTTATATTGTCTCTTTGTTTGTTAGTGAAAGTGGAGGGTGAATAGATATCTTTTCCTTCTTCTTTTTTGTCTTAATATATCGATAACGTCTTAAATTTGTATTAAATTTCATTTAGACAATCACATGAATTATGATTTATTTTAATTAAGTATTTGAATATATGATAAAATAATTTCATTAAATACTTTGATTCATATATTACACATGTAAGAATAACGGAGCCTAATCATCATAGAGATTTGTGAACTTTTTTTTTGCGAGTAACCTTAGATGTAGTTGACATAAATTAAAAGGAGATCTCCCTTGATTTTACATCGAACAATAATTAATGAAAGAATATAATGGTAAATTAACACATAGAAATTATTAATCTGAGATATGAATATCTAGTTGTGCACTGAACTAAAAAAATATTAGGCCACTGATTAAAGCCCTTCAAATAATTAGTAGGTGTACGTAGTTAATTAATTAGCTCCTACAAAATTATTTCTTTTTTAATTTACTAGTAAGTAAGTAAATTTAAAAGTGAAACTCTTGTTCGAATCAATCTTCGAATAATACATTCAAGTTCTCCTTCAAGATTTTCAATGGCTAATTCCACGGCTTCCAATCTTTTATTAGCACATTGTAATGTCATCGCATCACATTTTTCCCACGAACTTAAGCTATTTACTCTCATCAATAATTTCGAACCAAAATACCCTTTACTCGTTTTCCGTGTCGCATTTGGACTTGGCATTGACATAAGTGCCATCAAAGATTCCAATATTGACATTGTTGCCACTCTAACTTCTCTTAATACATTAACAACCACCATAAGATTATTTTCATTATCTATCGACGATGACGATAAATCGATACACTTAGTGTTATTTTTCATTCCTTTCAAGGAATGCAAGCGCTTTAACATCTCTTTCTTCAACTTCTTCCTATGGCAATGAAAAGGAGCGAACTTGTTCTCTGTTATCGCGTTTTCCCCAACACTGATTCTTCTGAACGTGCACTTAAGATCATGAACATGATCCTTAACAAGCAAAAGAACATCTTTGGTGGTACCACAAACGTCCAACATCCTTAACGATGTTTCTGAAACCTCGTGTGTCCATTTCTCCTGACCCTGATGAGCGATTTCGCGTTTGATTACCGGGGAGTGAAGCATGTCGTTAGCCGATTCGTGCAAGTCTCTTAGAGCATCAAAATTTGGGAGTGCCATGGAAGTTTTTCTTGGAGAAAATTAAGGATTGTTGAAAATATTGTTGAGATTTGAGATTAATACACTTTGTTACATCTAAAATGTTGTAATGTATTTAAAGTTAAATAGACAAAAATAATTAAAGATGGATTATTATTATTAATTGAGATCTGAGATCTCTTAGGAAAAAGGACAGAAGGATCCTTTTTTTGTACGGATTTGTTGTCCTATAATTGGCAATAGCTAAGGTACCAAAATTTGTTCCCTTAGGAAACTTCATTGGAAATGAGAAATGGTGAAAAATATGAGTAATTGATACATTGATTGATTAGTTGATATAGTATAGTAGTTGACTAGTTTTTAAAAAAAATTCATTCAGTGTTTGATATCTATATTAGAGTTTGATTAAATTTGAATTCCGCTGAAAAGTCACACATTGATCGTAAATCGCTCCCTAACAAGGGCGACTTCACAGCTGAAGAAACTTGAATGTGAGACTTATAATTAAGAATAAATAAGTACTTACTACTTCACCACAACCCTAATAATTGATAGTTGACTAGCTGTTAAGATATTCTTGTTTGTGGATTAGTGTTAGTTTATTTGTAGGATTTCATTTAATTATATTATACTATATATACAATTAGTTAGTATATGAGTAGTATCATATTCTTCTAATTTTCATTAGTACTTGTTGTTTTATTTCTTCTGTTTAATCGTGACATTTTGTTGTTGAATTTTTCTTTCTGTCATGTTTTGATTATTTTAATTTCGCGTTGAGGATTTATTAGAAACAACTTCTCTATCCTACAAAGATAGAGTTATTTAGATCTGCATACATTTTACATATTCTAGCCCCCAAGATTATATTTGTATGACTATACTGAATATATTGTTATGGTATAGTACTAATGTTTTAGTTTAGGAAGTAATATTTTTATATTATTTTTATGTATAAAATTAAAATACACAATATAATAGTTGGTAGCATGCAAATACATGCATGTAGAGAAAAAGATGCCATAGCCGATATTTAATTTGTCGCCATGCAGACAAAATGTTTGCTAATTGAGGAGCATTAAGTCAGTAATCAACATTCTAATTATTGTTTTAGCTTTTTTTTCATGGTGATTAAGAAAAATATTAAATATAAGACGTGTATAGTTTACTTGGTAAACAACAATCAATTTTGGTCTTAAAATTTTGAAACAAAAGTTATTTTAAAATATATTTTTTGAGTTAAAGAGACAGTTAATTAAAATTGGATCGACAAAGCGTGTAGAAAACTTCCAAGAAAATTCTTGAAACAAAGAATTTTTTTATTTAATGAAAATTGAGGATAAGTACTTGAATGTACTCTTATTTTTCATCTAATTTCTTTGATGATTAAAAATTGTACATAATTATGAACCCATGTGTTCTTAACCATGTGGTGGGTGCTCCGAAAAAAAGATTTAAAAATGAAGATGATGCAAACAATTTTAATAATAGCACGTTATCTTGTTTCTTCAAGCAAAGCAACCCAAATAAATAATTTCATGAAAATTTAAAAAAGAAAAAAAAATCTCCCAAGATTTATTATTCATGTTTTTTTTCCTTAAAAAATTCAATGTTTGCTTAAAAGGAAAGATGAATAAGTGTAGAAAATGTCATTAAGTATGAGAAATTAATCATATTTATTCTTTGTTAGTAGCGTGATCTATCTCTCTGTTTTTCATAGTCAAGATGTGCTCGGTAGAATCGGTGAACCACACTTGCTTCTGGATAGATGTGTGGGACAGAGGGCTTGTGGTACCTGCTGCCCACCCTTCCTCCTCTGCTTTGAGAATCATGTGAACGTAGAGTGGGCAGAAGAGAAGGAGGTCCTCATACGGAGTCGCACCAAACCTTGAGAAGAAGTAATGTATGAAATAAATTGAGAGCTTCCTGCCATACAGAGACAAGCTCTGAATTTGGTTCAAAGGGGAATTAGGGTATTAAGAAAAGGGATTTCCCAAGGATCTAAAATCGCAATCTCTTTTGGGGGCCAAATACTTCCGATCTCTATCGTAGGTGCCAAAGAAGAATGAGAAGAAGCCCGAAAAAGAGCAAAAACGAACATAACCTCCGATACGATAAACAAAATAAAAACATATGTTTCTATCGTTATTTTATTGAGCCAAAAATAATCTTATTCCACATAAGACATAACCAATGCCATATTTGAATTATTTCTTAACTTTACCATAGTTAAATCTAAGTGTGCTTGACGAAGATGAAGTATTGGTGTTGATATATATGGTATAATTAGTGTAGTTGAAGTTATTTTGAGGATCTTATTTTGACTTTTAAGAAATGAAATTTTATATTTTTTGTGTGTTCAATTTGAATTTGTTACTTTGTAAAAATTATTTGAATAATTTAGTTGCGAACTTGAGACTAGATTATCAATATAATGTAGTGTTATCTTTCAAAAAATTATGTTGTGCAAGTGCGTGCATGTTAGAATTTGGATTGAAAGAACAATTTTAAAAAATAATGGACACATTCTAATCAACTTGTCACATCTATGGACAAATGCTGAATCAATCAGTTATGAAATACCTTTAGCTATGTGTATGCAGTGACGGATTCATGATTTCAGTAAGGGGGTTTTAAAAAAGAGTCGTACCTAAGATTTTATCTTGGAATCTCAAGGTAAGTTTTGAACCCCTCAACCACTAAGTCAATCTCTAATCTTACGTTCAGAAGGTTCAAAATCAATATATAGACATACAAATTCTTTAAAATATCTTAAATATACAACTTAATTTTTTACCGAGGAGGTTCAGGACCCCCTCGGCAACCTCTAGGTTCGACCCTGTATGTGTGTTATCAGTATCTCTACATGCATGTGATTCGGTGAGACCTGACCTCAACCTTCTTAGGGTTGGATTGAGTTAATTATTTAAGGCTCACTCAATTGGGGTACATATGCCCAATCTGACTTGTCAAACTCGAAAGCCTTTGTGGGTTGGGGCCAGTGGCTGCATAACAAAAATTTGATCAGCTATATATATAATGTAATTTATTAACGAAGGGTATTCAACGAACCAACCTGGTATTATTATAGCTCTGCCTTTGATTAGCGCAATCCAACTTATCGTGACAGCTTTATATAATATTATATGTATTCTTCATTTATATACTCATATTAATGTTTAACTGGTGAAGTCAAATGATAATAATTTTTTTATAACACTATTAATATTACTTTATACAATAAAACATATATTATATATTCATTGATAAATATAAATACAAAATGTGGTTAACATTTTATTATATCTTCATCAAGATTGAAAATAATGAGTCAAAACTCATATCTTCAAACTTGTTTGTTCGCAAAATAAACATCTCTAAAACATGATGGTAAAATTATGAGTTTTAAAAAACTTTAGGGATTAAAGAGACTCATAGTTATATTTAAAAGATCAAAATAGATTTGCAATCATAAATGAGGGACAATTTTAGCTAAAGTATGAAAATTAGTATTTAATCCCTACGGTTAACAATACTTTCACATCAAGTCCACTCAATTTCTCTTTAGTCAAAACCCTCGCCGGCGATTTCTCTCAGCTCTGTTCCGGTGAATCTCCGCCATGAATCTCCGTATCGTAGACAAAGAGGTGCAAGACAATCGCTATGACCTCTTCGACGTTCACTTCCACAGCGATGTAATCAAAACGATGGTAACTCCCGATCCCGATATCATCACTCAATGGATCTCCGAAACTGAATCTTCTCACTCCGGCAATCGCCGTCTCATCGCCGGACTTGACGTGGAATGGCGTCCTAACTTCAACCGCAACCAGCAAAACCCGGTCGCCGTTCTCCAGATCTGCGTTGATCGGCGTTGCCTCATCATCCAACTCCTCTACTGTGGATCAATCCCGGAATCTCTGTTCAATTTCCTCGGGAATCGGGAGTATGATTTCGTTGGAATTGGAATTGATAGCGATGTGGAGAAATTGTTGGAGGATTATGAGCTGAATGTGAAGAATGCGGTGGATTTGAGAGGAATTGCTGCTGATGCTTATGGTATGGAGAATTTGAAGAATGCTGGATTGAAGAAACTGTGCAATGTTGTTCTGGGGAAGGAGATTGTTAAGCCTAAATCTGTTACTATGGGTAGATGGGATAGTGAATGGTTGAGTTTGAATCAAATTCAGTATGCTTGTCTTGATGCTTTTGTTTCTTCTGAAATTGCTAGGCACTTGAATGTTGGTGCTGCTGGTGCTGCTGCTGCTTCTGGGTCCTAAAACTTTCTTCTGGGTTCTTCTTACGAAGATATTAGAATCCGTCTATTTCGAATTTCTGGTTATTGGATAGTAGAGAGGGAAAAAACATGAGTGAAGTTTTAGTCTAATGTTGTTAAATGGATTTAAAGCGTACTTATTTACACCTTATTTTAGAATTGTTGCGTATTTTATTTTTCAAGGTATGATATTAATGTCACGTATAAACTTATTTGAAGGATAAATGGATATATATATATATATATATATATATATATATATATATATAAAGATAGTAATAAAATAAGATTATTAAATAATAAATAAATGTGATCTATACTTTTATAATACTATAGTAGTTTACAACAACATACCTAGTAGAATTTGAAGAGGTTATGTGTGTATGTAGTATGTTGTTTGATAGACTCTCGACTTAAGTAGACATATCAAAAATCAAATATCAAAATAAATACAAGTACCAAATTAAGGACATCAGCTTTCTCCCATTTACTATATATTTCATTAAGTTGATCTAACACTTCTATCAGTTATAAGAACTATTCAAAATCCTACTACGTGTAAAAGGACTTTTTTCAAGAAATCAAACAATATATAGTAACTTAATACTAATATACTAAGGCCGAGCGCGTTTAAAGGTTGATCCAGAGTGCCCTCGTGGGCTGCAACCCAGAAGAACTAAAAGCTCGAAGACCGATTCCTTCTTTTACCTTCAGAGTGCCCTCGTGGGCTGCAATTCAGAAGAACTAGAAGCTCGAAGACCGGTTATTTCTTTTACCTTCAGAGTGCCCTCGTGGGCTGCAATCCAGAAGAACTACAAGCTCGAATGGACCGGTTCCTTTTTTTACCTTCAGGGAGAATCCAACAAACCTAAACTACAAATTTCTGTCCCTGATGGAGCCTCCCAATGTGAAGTTTTATTCTTCATCTCAGCAAATTCCCTCACACATTGATCCAATTTCATTCCATCAATTCTTCTTCTAGCTGCAGCAAGTTTTTTCCCCGCCACTCTGTCGAAAACTCTCTCCCACCCGCTCTCCCATTCAGCGCGAGCATCACATAGCTCGAGCGAGTTATTAGTCCAATCCGTCCAACTCCATCCTTTATCTAGTCTATTCATGGCAACCTCAACGCACGACCCGGTGCACGCGGTCGTGCACGGCCGGCATTTGGCCCCACTCAAGGGACCTCGACTAGAAAGCGCTGCAACCGGTACACCATAATGGGATGGTGGAAATTCGTACTGACGATCCGTTACCACACAAAATGGAAGGCGCATAGTTAGGTAAGGAACTTGTTGAGTTGTTAGTTGGGCTTTGAATGCACTTTCTGAGTTGAGCTGAATACGCCCTGCTAAATCAAGCTGGGGTATCATGGAGAGCCTCGAAAGAGCGATCACCGACGTGTTGTAGTCACCAATGCCAAAACGATCGTTCAGGCCTCCGTAGGAGGAACCTGGAGGGACGAGGTAGTGCCTGGGGATGAAGTTTTCGGGGCCTAGTGGTGCTGACCAGTAGCCATCAACTCGAGCTCGGACTATCCAGTCGTATGTGAAGTTGTTCTGCTTTTGATAGTCTTGGATCATTGTCAAACAACCCTCTACCAAATTGAAATATTGCAGCAACCCCTGCAATTGGTAACATGTTGGATTCAAATCACTGGTAGTTTACGTCAAATCAAATTAATACATGTTAAGACAACAATATGAGAGATATGACACACGGAAAAGATCTTAGTATGGAGCGTTTTCCGCTTTAATAGGCAACACCCATAACGAATCCTGGTTAATCAGAATCCTAATACAAGTACCGAAATCGTGAAAAAGTTATTTTCTTCATCATCAATATCACCTAATCCTAAGAAAATATTTTAGTTGAAAGTGTCACTTTTACCTAATCTAGACCCACCTATTGTATATTTAATTTGTCAAAGACCATTTGGTCTTTGGTGTTGTACTTCTATTGGTTGCCAAATTTACACCAAACCAAATTTTACAAGCAAATACTTCATGCTTCTCCCTAAGTAGCAACATCAATATTATTTTAAAAGTTACATATTTATGCATTTATCTTCAACCTAACTCTAGAATCTTTCATCTTTATAGTGAAATCATACAAAAATATTTCCAACCTAACTTTTAGTATGAAAAAAGCAAATGTTTTTTTTAAGCCATAAAAAGCTACTTTAATAATTTAATATAATTATTAATGTTTTAATTCACATAATTAAACATTAGATACATTGATTCTCAACTAACCCCAAAACCTCCCTTTGAAAAGTCATCTTTGTTTTATAATAGCAATGTTCCAATCAAACTTATAAACACTTTTCAACTTTCCCCTTCATAATATTAAAATAATTTCCCCCCATCAAAACTTAAATAAATAAAGAAAAATCACCTAGCTTTTTCGTACTCTACCACTAAAATTTCCACCAAAATCATTAATCCATAGGTCAAACCTTTAATGCAAAGTCATAAATCTACATGAAAACTAGTCTTAGAACGATTATCCCCTAAAAAAGAGAATCGAAAAATTCGTACTTTTGAGTCGATGATTTATCTGAAGCGACTTTCAAAAGCATGAGCTATAATCTATGACGTTGATTACAAATTCACGTGAACTCATCAATCGAGAGAGAAGTTTTCGCCTCGATAATCACCTAAAAAAAATTGTCGAGTACCAACTAATAACATGACAGCAGCCAGCTAAAACCACCTCTCAACTTCCATTAAAAAGCTTTTTTTAGAATTGCGTTAGAAGCAACGAAAACTCCACCATTATCTCTTTGTTTCCATCCTAACAAACAAATACTCTTTTTCTAATTCAAAATATTTTGTTAATTATTTTTTAAAAAATTAATAAATTAAAAAAAAAACGAAGAACAAATACCTGTATTCCATTAGGTGAGTTTTGAGCTGTAAGAACTCGGAGTTGTGACTCAGTTTCCGGTATATTCTGTGGCCGGAAAATCCTAACGCCGGCGATTCTCCGAACAGATTTCAACAATGAAAGCTTATAAGCTTTAGAATCCAATGGACTATGAAGAAACAGATCAGAATTCGGATAAACTTTCAAAATTTTCTGGATAATTGAAGGCCCAGTAAGTTCAAACCTACGGGCCCCACCTACTAAACACACAGCTATTCTCGATCGATCCAGCTCCTCCTTCTTCCGTTTCTTCTCCGATTCATCTGCAAATCTCGCCGGATAATCATATTCTCCTCCGGGAACGTAACTGATAGTTGATTTTGAATTTGAGAAAGGATTGAATACAGCAACAGTTCCTCCACCAGCAGAAGAGTAAAACACATAAACAATGAACAAAATTGGTGGTAATATCAACAATAACTTCTTCAAATTGAGATCTGAAATCCATTTACTACACCGATGAAGAAATTTTGAAGGATTTCTCCAAATATTCGTCATATTTCGAGTTTCGTTCATCTTTAACCAGAAATTTCTTCGCAGAAAATTGAATTTAACAACGAAATAATGGTGACTTTTCAACTACTATTGATGAAAGATATTTCCTTTGCTTTTTCCATATTGTTGAATCATGAAGTAAACGTTGAATGCTTCTAACTTTTTTTTTTCTGACTGGTTTTAAATAAAATGTGAATATGATAAGGATGGTGATAATAATTATAGCAAAAAAATAAAATATTTATAATTTTTTTTTTAGTAAATTGTGTGTAGGATATTTTTTGAGAAGTTAAATTCAAATATAAAATGTGTTCCACAAAGCAATTAGGAAAGTATAAATATAGTAAATATCAATCTATCTCTCTTTTAATTTTAGTTAATGCAAAAATATATAACTTGTTGATGAAGCATTTTTATCGGAAGAGTCGTAGCAGGATGAATAAGATATTTTTATCGTTTAGATAAGAGCGCGAAACTCTTTGAATCTCACTGTAAGTTTTTTTCTGTTTTTCTCTATTGAAAATAGCCAGAACTAGAAAATGTATATTATAATATAAACTAGAACAAATGAATATAAACTCTAGACATAAATTAAATAAATAAGTATCAAATAACAAATCTTAAACAACTTAGAATTTCTATTCGGACTTTGTATTATTATTCCAACAATCAAAACTCTACTTTATTTTTTGTTTCCCATCCGATACCCACATTGAAGCCTAACTAAATTTAAATTCGCACTAGAAAATCTCACATTAAAAAATAAAACATTTTCTAACAAAGATGACTTCATACCCAAAAGTCGAAACTCGAGAGCTCTTCATTAATCTAATACAAGTATAAAAGGGTGAATGAAAAAAAATGACTTTTTATTTTAAAAATACAATTATTGTAACAAAAGTTTGAAATATTGATAAGTTACCTAAAAACTCAAAATATTCAAAATCTTTGAATTTTGTCTCGTGGAATTTTTTTGTCGACATCGATTAATTGGGAAAGTATTTTAAAGAGATGATCCAAAAAACTTTTTATAAGAGTATTTTCTTCCACATGTTATCTTGATAAATAATATGATCGCATAAAAAAAAATTCATACTTTTAACATCTACCATAAGACCTTTTAATATTAAAAATAATTATTTTTAGTTCAAATCAATAAAAAATATTATTCGTTTGATATGCAGAATAGAATAAACAAAGTATATATTATGATTGTGATTAATTATCCTATTTTTATAAATAAATAAAATAATAAATAGTGAAATGAAATATAATTATTTTAAATTAACTAATACATATAACCAAAAACACGAAATTAAAATATATATATATATATATATTTAAAATTATTAATTATTATTTCACCAACCAAATAACCAATTAATGTCTCATCAATGGCCAATAGACTAGAACAATTTCAATCTAGTGATCTCATAGCCTATTGTCCACTTTGATTTTTTCTTCAATGTAGACTATAGAATAAATAAAAAATCAATTTAGCAAATATTCCTAGATACTTACCGCAACAATAACAATAATATATCGGTATAATTTTATTAATAGATATAAAAAAACATAGAT